ATTATGGTCCATTTAGAGTCAAACAGACCATAAAGCAGGGGATGCTAACCTAAGCAATCTAGATAACTGGCTAGCTAGCTGTAGCATTAGCAGCTGGCCCTGCAAAAACAAGATGGCGACGGCCGTTATGATTTAAAGGATCCTTAAAACTATAAACGTATTTCAGAGAAACCTTCCAAACAAAGAGAATAAAATATGTTTGTTTATCTCGCTGTGACCCCTCAGGTGTGTCCCCTGACCCTCTGAAGGGGTGCGGACCTCATGTTGGGAACCCACAGGTGTCTCTTACGTTATTGGTTTCCACTCCTCCATACTTGGCTCTGACTTTGGGCTCCTGGATGGTCTGCAGGTTGGTTCCTGTCACCGTTATCACTGTGCTGCCACTGCTCTCACACACACACACACACACACACACACACACACACAGTCAGCTGACAGATCAATACTCTGATTGATTGTGTGCTCAGTCCTCAGGAGCATGCGTTTACTTGAGGATGGTCCAGTTCGGCTCGATGCTGGAGATGGTCGGGTCCTCCGTGAAGACGTATTTGATCTCCGAGCTCGTCACCTCGGCCCTGTCAATCATCAGGCGGATGGGGGCGGGGCCAGAGCCCGACGGGGAGGCGGGAGTTATGCAGATTATTTCCCGATTGGTCCGTCTGGGAGAGAGGCGGAGGGAGTATTGATTAGATGATGAATCAATAACATTAAACTAATCAATGAACTGATGAGAGTCCGCACTGACTTGACGAAGAGACACTCCTCTTTATCGATGAACACCGTCACCGAGCTACCGGCATCAAGGTGACGACCTGTCACCGTCAGTCTGGTTCCTCCAGAGACCGGACCACGTTCTGGACGGACTCGGGTAAAGGTAGGGCTCTGGAGGAGGAAGAAGAGGAAGAGGAGGAGGAGGAGGAGGAGGAGGAGGAAAAGAGGGGGGAGAGGGAGGAAGCGAACAGGTTATATTGAGTAAATATTGATTATTGGGATCAACTCCTTTCTTCTTGTTTCCACATTTCAATAAAATCTAAATAAAGTTTTTGTTCTTCAATTTTTTAAATAATCCATGTTTTATTAGTCAGTGTGCTTTGGCACAAAGGCAGTAAAACTGCCTTTGTGCCAAAGGACACTAAAAAAAACAGCTAAAAAAATCACTTAACTTTGGGCCCATATTGACTAGCCGTACATTAACGTAGAAACATGATTCAAAGTTTAAAACGTAGACAAAACACTGCACTTTATTGAGCCAAAGGGACATTTTGATAGCCATCACAGTTTTCATGAAGTCACAGATTAAGTTTCAGGAACATTTTGGGTCAGTTTCAGATTTTATAATGGGTGTGTATTGCACGGCTCGTTAAGAGCTAGAGTGAGAGCATAACTGTCAGAGTGGAGCCAGAATTTGCAGAGAGACTGCTGACATGTTGTGCTATGATGTGGGAGAGGTTTAAACTTTCATCTGCATCATTCAAAAGAGATAATCATGCTTTCAGTGCTTTTTTTCCAGGCGAACCTGAAACTTTTCAATTTGAGCTGTGTGCCATCTTCATTTACTCTTAACCAGTAACATATACACAATATTTACACATCTGAACAAATCTCACAAGTGTCACCTGTATTATAGCATCAACATTATTAAAATAGACCTTGTAGTTACAGAATTACAGTCTTTTTAGTACGGGTATGCAATTTTTGAGCAGAGGCCTAAAATACGGCTAGGGTTAAAGAAGTTTTAGGAACTTTAGTTCTTTTTGATGTTAAAAACTATAAGAAGCTCTTATTGATCTATTCATCATCTCTGTCTTGTCTGATGTTTCATATATTTTATGAACATTAATATCTTCTAACTCACCACGAAGGAGTACGTCTGAGTGGACAGAGTTCGATATTCGGAGCTGCAGACACCGATACAAAGTTCTACTGGACCTCCAGGAGAGTGAGGGAGGAGAGCTTCAGCCATGTCACACACGATCCTGAGACAGGGAGACAGGTAGAGAGTTAGACAGGTAGTGAGTGAGGGAGGAGAGCTTCAGCCATGTCACACACACTATCCTGTAGAGAGACAGGCAGAGAGACAGAAAGGTAGAGGGAGACAGTGAGACAAAGAGGGTGACAGTCAGAGATACAGACTGGCAGACAGGCAGAGAGTAAAACAGACAGAAAGACAGACAGAGACACAGACAGTCAACCTGTCCATACTAACAGCCTATCAACAGACCTCTCAGCGCTGATGTACTGGGAGGGGGCGGGGCTGCAGCGGACTCCAGCCACCTGAACGTGAGAGATCTCCTTCACCTGTAGACCCAGGTTCTCTCCTTCTATGGTCACCAGAGTACCACCTTCACGGGGGCCGGTCAGAGGGTCGATCTGTGGGGGGGGGCAGATATCAGTTATCAATAGAGGAGGAGCAGAAAGAGGAGGAGGAGGAAGAGAAGGAGGATGAAGAGCAGCAGCAAGAGGTCGTGGGTTTGATTCCCTACCTTAGTGATGCGTGGGTTTGATTCTCTACCTTA